ACACTTATCGCAGTTTGTCTTCATGTGGCAGTTTTTGGTGCCATGGCCATATGAGAGACAGTTCATACACTGCGTTACATCACGATGTTGGGGTTTGTAATGCTCCCAACTGATGATGACCTGAAACAGGTCCCGGATATTGGATCTCAGAGCCGCAAGACTGGTGGATCCCTTCGTGAAATGCACCAGGAACAACTGATCACGGAAGCTGGTGTTTTGGTTGGGACGCCGGTTAATCGGGTACACTGCCTCAGGCTTGAGTCCGAACCGCTCCAGCTCGGATTTCACCGCAGTCGCCTCGAACGACGGTAATCCACGCAAAACCACCTTCAGTGGCTTGCTCGATGGCAGATCATGTGTGAAGAAGTCCACGTTGTTGTTCTTCAGGAAACATCCTATTTGTTTGTACTCCTCCAGGTTGGAGCACATGATTTTGGTACCGATGCTGCAAAGCTTGAAGCGAGGCAGCAGCTTGTGTTTTGCCAGTTCAGCACCCAGCTTGGCAACATCCTTCACCGGCGTGAAAAGCGGGGGAATCCGCTCTCGTCTTGCAATGGGAACGGCGTCACCATCGCCATTTTCTTCTGGGAGTACTGCATACTGGTTGGCTTGCAGTACACGTTTTCCGGCGTCATCCTGCGACGCGCTGGGCTGGATTAGCACCTTCTTTGAAGGGCCCGCTGCTGGCTCATTGGCACGTTTACGCACCATTTGTTTCGTGTTTGCAAGTTCAATTAAACTTGCCAGAACGCGAGAAGGTGGCGACACTTCCACGGCGCAACGCGACAGCACAAAACGAAACCAAATCGAATCGAGAACTCGAGCGAAAATACGGACTGAACAGCTCGACAGTCGAGCAAAGAATGATGAGCTAATGCCATACAGCAGCGCTCTTTTATATCTTTTCAGGTTAAAGCAGAATGATGTGCAACGAAGTGGTATAAAAGCTACAAAGACTCCTCCCATTATGAGTAGTTTGCTATCAAGTAGCGACACTGGCTCTTTTCCTTTTGCGTACACGGTGAATGAGAACGACCCAAATTTGAGTTTAGTTCACTCATAATCGCCAAAAGTGCAGGAACTTAGCGGTGAGTAAATTTGTCTCATGGTTTCCTGTGGAAAACCTAAAAAATCAGCCAGAAAACGAGGAAATTAACGACAATTTTATTCAGTCTCGGGGTAGTACCAATAGACTGAGTGAATCCAATCTTTACTTTTCTCAAATTCGGGAATTTTTACCTGGAAAATCCTGGAAAAACCTGGGAAAACATGAGACAAATTTACTCATCGCTGAGTTCCTGCACTTTATTTCTTAATTTTGAGATAACTAAACTCAAATTTGGGTCGATCTCATTCGCCGTGATATCACCTTGAAAGATACCGTCGCCGGTGGTTATCGTAATTAACTCTCATCCCAGCAGGCCTGGGTTCAATCTCAGTCGCACCGGCATGTTCTGAGGCATAGCATATCTGATCCCACCTTCCTTCGGGAAGTAAAGCCGTTGATCCCCTGTTTATGAGTTGATGGGTCGATATATAGGGTCCAGGTGTGGGAGCATCGAACATCTACACTCTCTTTCGTAAATAACTCGGCTTCACAAATGTTTCCTGCCGTCTTCGTCGAATTAGATGCTAGATTGTTGCTTCTTCCATTGAAAATATCCGCCCGTGGCGATTCAAAGTTGATCAAGGTTGAGCAAAATAATTTGTACCCATGCTTCCAGTTTGATTACATGAGCGTGGTCGTTGGTTCTAAATATGGACAAACAGGCAGATGAATTCTATTCCTACTCTTTACTGTAATAAGCTTGGTGGCCCTGAAAAGAGCCGTTTTGTTGCCAAGGATGATTTAACCTCCGAAACCAGACAAAGTGCATCTCTGTCACTTCAAAACGTAGATGACATCCATGGCCACTTACGCTTGGCGTGTTTAGTGTAGGTGACAGCATCACGGATCTCATTTTTCAGGAACACCTTCAGCACACCTCGTAAATCAGACCGGAGATACGTCAGACACCGCCACGGCGAGCCAGATGACGGATGGTGGTTATCTCGAAGAATTTGCGTTTGGTTTTGAATATGGCGATGATATGCAAAATATTACGCAAATCCATCCTCCCTATTCGCACGCGCCCGAAGATCGGAGGCAAATGCCATTTCGACTTGTTTCGTCTACTTACTACTCTCTGACGACTGTGCTGGGGAAGCAGCATATGCATGTAGGTAATTGGTGGATTTGTTAGTTAATTCAACGCTTTTGGACAATGCTGGGCATTTACCAGTTTTCAATAGTTTCTTGTTGAAAATCAACATTCGGAAGTATTGTTATCGATGCGTAGCCATATTTCTGATCGATTGGTGATAAAATTATTGAAATTGGACCAGGGGCAGCTGAGTTATTAACGTTCAAAATCTTTCTTAATTTGTTACATGTTCCATTTTCGGTTTTCACAAAGTGTACCCCCATATAGAAATCAAAGACGTAGTCCTACGTCAAAATGTTCGGTGGATTTTCCCTTTGAATCCAGCTTCCAAAAAAAAATCACAATATCACAAAACATAAGTAAGAGAGAACAGCCCATAATGCACCCCTGGGGTAAAATGCCCACTTATAGAAAAACAGCGATAACTTTTCCTCAGATGCATTTTCCGGGTAACGGTTTGTGATTGTTTTCAACTGGAGGTTTAACAAATAATTCTTGATCATAAAATCATGTATTGACCTACTGATTCCTTAAAAAAAATTGCATTATGTGCAATACAGGACACAGTTGTTAAAATCATCGACTGTAAATTAAGCTTTTATCATCATGTATCACAAAAAAAAATTAAAAAATTTACGTTTCGTATATTTTTTAGATATTTTACTTGATGAATCACAGTTTAACATTCTATTGAGATTTTGAGACCTTATTTCTGATGTAACATAAAGAAATAATCATTTGAAATACCGCATCCCTTTGCATTATCTACTTGCAGGGGTTATGGTTTGTTTACCATGGGGTGCATTTTACCCCAATGTTGTGGTGCGTTTTAGCCATTGTTGTCGTGCGTCTTGTCCCAATGTTGTGGTGCATATTGCATCATGAATCCGGCGTTTTGCCCCGCTATCATTTTGGAAGCAATTTAAAAAATACCTTGAAAGTCATGGAAAATCATCCTTTTGTAGTTCTAAATCACTTGATCTTTGTAGAAAACATGGTAATGAACCAAACGCCATTACTTTCTTCTTGATTTTAGCTTCCATTCGCCAGCCATTGACGATTTTGCTTAAAGGGTGCGTTTTGCACCATCCTACCCTATTGATGCGTGGTCAGAAACACTCTGACAGGTTTTCAACTCAAATATGCCTAAAAACGGACATCATCCCACTAGCTTGTCGAAAGGCGGTATCGACATCCTGGCGAAGTTTTGAAACCCGTTTTCGTCTTCATATCACAGTTCTTGAAGGACAAGATGAGCCAGATCCCTGCCGGTGTTCCTCCTGAGCAACCATTTCATACTCCACAAAGTTCGCCTTCTCCTTCTCGTCTGATTTAAAATAATAAAAGCAAATACGCCTACCGAAGCTAGAGCAATTCTCCGGTAATTCATGATGGAAGTATTTATTTTTGATTCCTTTTACAGTTTTGTTTTCCAAATCTAATTTGACAGCTCTTTCGACACAGGAAAACAGCGGCGTTGATCGTTTGACAAACAGATCAAAAAATCATGTAGTCTTAACGGACATCAGCTCAGTATTGATTCCCTTTAACAAACAACGCCAAGCAACTCCAGTAATTTCGTAGGTGAAACAAAATGATTTTCATTATCCTCTTAATCTTCCCAACCTCCGGAGCAGAAAATGATTTCCTTTCAGTAAATTTCACCACAACATCAATCATACTAACAGCTCTCTGTAAAGCGGTTGAAAGCTTTTCAGTTTTAGACTTGACAAAGCTTACACCCGCTTTTCCAAGTAAAATCTGTTTGTCTTCCCATTCCACCCCAACCAAGCCGGAGAAAATGGGAGCCACCGAGCGAGACTCAGACGAAAGAAATTCAAGCTCCATTAATTATGCAGATACAAATCAGCAACAGGTCAACCGACTTGACACGGGCAACCTCTCACCACTGCCCTCGCATCCCCCTTTCGTCGGACGGTTCACTTTTCAGCAACACCACGAAGCCATTTGTGCTCACTAATTCCGCCTTTTTTTTTGTAGTGCTGCAACCAGCAGGCGAATGCTCAGTCAACAAGTGAGAGACAGTGCTCGGGAGAAAAAGCGTCGAGAAGGAGATAAAAACTTTTTTCCGCCCGAATAGTTTTCCCGAACTGAGGTGGACGACTGCAGGCTGAGAAAAGAGCAATCAGATAAAACGATTTCCAGGTAGGTACCCACCTATTTACTCTGAAAGGAGAGATCGATTAGCCTTCGGAAAAGGAATGGTAGGGAACGGGGCGAGGGGACAGTGATGTGGCTTTTCTCTTTCCAAGTAGTGATGGTTTACACTTACGGTAGTGGATTCTGGGAGTAGAAAGGAAAAAAAAAGGTTTTCGAATGGAATTTCGAATGGAAGGAGGAAAATTGGATTTACTCACAGTATCGGGGACGGCAAATGGAATGATTTTGCATTTTTGGGGTTAGGTTTTCCTCCGGACACGAGGACTAAAGTGATCTGCTGCTGAGTAGCATCACCGTCGTCGCTGTCGATCAGCAGCAGCATTGGAAGCGTAACACACGGTCGTCGTCGTCGTCGTCGTCGTCTCGTCGCCAGTGCTCGCTTAGTGGTCAATTTGAATATTGATGAGTTCGGTGGTGGTTCGAAATTGCGAGCAATTTTGTGAGGATTGAATTCTAGCATGTTCAAATGGCTTTTTCAGCACGTGAGGACGGAATTTGGGTTTGGTTTCAGCGGTATTATCGGAGAAGAGTGGGAAACAGTGGGAGCGTTCTCTATTAAATTCAGAAAATTTAAATCTAGTCCTGTAGAAATATATTTTTCTGATTGTTAAAGCTGTAAGGAAATAGAAAAACGGAACCTAGGCAGCTGAACGATCCAGACCAGGCCAGTCGGTGGATTCCTAGACTGTGAAAGGATAATTTAATTATTAATCGTTTAGAAAGCGAAATTGGAAATATCCCAAAACATTGTGCACCATCGACGCCTCAAAATGAAATATAACCATTGTTCGCTCCACCCCCCCTCAAACGTACTCTGCAAAGCTATTCTACATGGCTCATTAAACAATCATCTGTCAAACATAAATTACCGTCGGGGAAACTCTTTCTTCGGTGATCGCAGTAGACCACCGCTGCCGTCGTCATAGCAGTGCGTTGCTCCCAGTAGCGGTGAAATGTCTCCCGGTCCGGCTTGAAGTCCTCCACCGGGAGCGGCGTTCGAATGCGCCGACGAGCCCGACCGAACGGGTTGACCATCGTTGAGTCCGTCCACCGGCGTGTCCAGCGGCATCGCGATGTCGTATTTGCGAGGCCTCCCCCGAGACAGGTGGCGCCGCTTCAGGAATTCGTTGTCGTCCACCATCCAGAACGAACCGAAGTCGTCCTCGTACCGGACGAAGCACTTGTGCAGCGACAGGTTCGTCCGGATTGCGTTCTGTAATGTTTGTAGACTATGCAGGCATGTTCGGAATGGGGAAATGGGGCGGGTGGCAGTTTTTGGTTTTGGGGGAAAAGCAGGTGACCTTGGCCGGATTATTATAGCAGTTGATTTATTGAACGCATTATGACCGTGCATCGTCATGAATAATTGATAGTGTCAGCAAATTTTCGTCCATTATCGGAATCACAAAACAAAGACTGTTACACGCAGTAATGGAAAGACCAGAAACAAACACACCTATTCTCTATTCCGATCGATACGGAATTCCTATACAAAAAAAATGCATGGAAAATATATTTCGAACGGAATACAGAATAGGATAGACAATTTCCACAAAAATTACTTTTTTATATATGTATTTTAAGCTAAGCCCCTTAAACCCTTTCGAGCCCACGTGGTCCTATATCAAGCTGAAAAATGCATTAGGTCCTAAGTAAAATTGACAGATTCTCTTCGTTGACTTTCTATTTGCATCCTCTCGGCCATGTTGAGACCTTCCCAGCTATTTTAAGCACTCAGAACGATGAAAGAAGCTATTATCTAGCTTCTAATAACTTCTGTACCCAAGCTATTAACGAAAGAGAAAGTCGATGAAGAGAATCGATCAATTTTACTTAGGACCTAATGCATTGTTCAGCTTGGTATGGCCACTAGACTGATGCGAAATTTAGAATTTTCGCTTCACAGTGCTCAAACGGTTCCAAATTGGGTACTGATTACCCTTCCAAAATTTAAACTCATTCCGTAAGAAACTGATTTGGCACAAACCATTTCAATTTTATATGGAAATTACTATGGGACAACCAAACTTGTTGTTCATTGGCTCTAGGTTTTTAACAATATTGCGCGGTTAAAAAAATGTATAGCTATTCTAATTTGAAATTCTCAAAGCATAATTCTAAAAACGTGAAGATAAGATATATATGAACAAATATTTGGTTTTCCCATCGTAATTTCCATATAAACTTCAAATGGTCTGTGACAAATCGGTTTCTTACTAAATGATTTCAAGTTTTGAGAGGTTAATCAGGACCCGATTTGGAACCGATTGAGCACCGTGGAGCAAAAATTTCAAATTTCGCATCAGTTTAGTGACCTCGCTCTATGATTGGTTGCAAAGGTGGGTGTGACTGTATAGTAGTGAAAAAATATTAAATCACCCGTTTATAGCCAAACTCAAAGGCCTAGATCCTCAAATCCTTATGAAGTTATTATGTTAACGAATACAGACTTTAATCTCGACAGCGGCGATATCTTTAGCAACGGAGCTTGCACTGCTATGTTAATTAAACACAATTTGACAATTCTAGATGGATTTGATTGGTTGCAACTTGTTTTAAATTCACCAAATTGTCCAGGAGCTCTGACTGTTTGATCTACTGGATCAACGATGGCCTGCGCGATTTCCTCAGTGGCAAAACTTACCCAACAAGTTCATTCATTCATTGCACAGTGGTCCAGAATGCAAAATTATGTGAAATGATATGTTTTGAGCCTGAAATTGAATCTTTAGACTAAAAGTCTCTTCTACAAAGTTGTTTATTATAGTTATGCCCTCATTTTTATGACAATGAATTCTAGGATGGTTCCTATTATCATTAAAATCAAAAATCTAACTTATTTGTTTGAATAAATTAAGGTATACATTCTTGGGCAAAGTTATAGCTGAGCTAATTTCAAGCAACTTTGTAGAAAACAACTTTTTTTGTATTTCTTAAATTGGCCGCACAAATCTTGTCAATATCTTTCGCCGATCAAGAGTTATTGAGTTATACTAAAAATATGCACTTTTCAAATGTTACTATCTCTGGTTGGGGCAAAACAAAAATTCTACGGCATTTGAAAGGGCGTATGTTATTCTCAATAATATTGTTGGTATTGTTTGTTGACAAAATCGAAAAATATTTACAGTACATAACCGATTCAGTCAAGGGTCGTTTGGGGGTGGTCTGGTTTAGATCTCGAGTCATTTTGTTAGTCACTAGAAATAGCCCAGGTTGCTTGGTTATCCTAGAGTCGGTGTATAATGAGTCACGCCAAGAGTGAAGCCAAGTCTACCTATTGAACTGTCAAACCGGCTACCTATCGTGCAAAGTAAACAAACATTACGATGCTATGAAAGGTCCACGAAAGGTATTGCAATACAATATAAAATATGATCGAAGAAATGATCATATACAGGCAGTGAGCATTAAATTGTCATATGATACGTTTGGTAACGATCAGTAATGAGAATTTCTACTATTTTTTGTTAAGATGATTGGACAAAATCACTGATATAATGATTTAAAGGGTGATACGGTCAAAATTTGGTCAAGGGAAAACGCGTGTAAATCGGTGAAATCGTTTATTTAAAAAATCAAATTAAATTTCTTTTTCAAGTTCAATTAGTATAAAATTCAGAAAAAATATTCAGTTAGGCTTCCGCTTTTCCAAATCCGAATTGCCGGGCCTTACTCTTGACCCCTGCCATCAGATTTTGTACAGCCACCTTGTCCACCTTCTTCGCCGCAGAAAGCCAGTTTGCCTTGAACTGCTGCTCGCCCTTAGCAGTTTTTTTGGTCTTCTTTAGGTTCCGCTTGACAATAGCCCAGTATTTCTCAATTGGGCGGAGCTCTGGCGTGTTGGGAGGGTTCTTGTCCTTGGGAACCACCTGCACGTTGTTGGCGGCGTACCACTCCATGGCCTTTTTACCGTAATGGCAAGATGCGAAATCCGGCCAAAACAGTACGGAACAACCGTGTTTCTTCAGGAAAGGCAGCAGACGTTTATTCAAACACTCTTTCACGTAAATTTCTTGGTTGACAGTCCCGGAAGCTATGAAAATGCTGCTTTTCAAGCCACATGTACAGATGGCTTGCCAAACCAGATATTTCTTTGCGAACTTTGACAGTTTCATGTGCTTGAAAACATCTGCTACCTTTCCCCTTCCTTTTGCCGTATAAAACTCCTGTCCCGGAAGCTGCTTGTAGTCGGCTTTGACGTAGGTTTCGTCGTCCATTACCACGCAGTCAAACTTCGTCAGCATCGTCGTGTACAGCCTCCGGGATCGCGCTTTGGCCGTCGTATTTTGTTTATCATCGCGATTTGGAGTCACTACCTTCTTGTAAGTCGATAGTCCGGCTCGTTTTTTGGCTCGATGCACGGTTGTAGACGATACACCCAGCTTATTTGCGGCATCTCGGAGAGAGAGGTTAGGGTTTCGCTTGAAACTACCGGCAACTCTCTTTGTCGTCTCAGCGGCTTCCGGATTTCGATTTCCCCCCGATCCAGACTTCCTGGCTGTCGACAAACGTTCCCCAAACACTTTAATTATATTTGTAACGGTTGATTTGGCAACTTTTAGCGATTTTGCCAACTTTGCGTGCGAGTAGCTCGGATTTTCGCGATGCGCGAGCAAAATTTTGATACGCTGCTCTTCTTGCTTGGACGGCATTTTGACAACTGAAGAGTGAATTCCAAAATCAAAATAGGAGCAACATTCTACACACACACACCTTCAAAATGAGGGGTGTTCAGGTTTTTTAAATGCAAAATTGAAAGAAATACGTCAAGTTGATATTGACCAAATTTTGACCGTATCACCCTTTACAACAAACGCTATTTTTTTGCTCGCTAGAAGTAATTTGAAGTTGATGTAGCAGTCCTCTGTTGCCAAGTGAAAAGAAAGGGAATCTTTCGAAAACCGTGATGCAAGTTCAACTGTTTTTCTCTTGGCGTGACTCATTATACACCGTCTCTAGGTTATCCATTTGTATGCCTCTTTTCACACCTACTCGATAGCAGTCCCGTGGTTTCACAAAATCGCTATTTCAAATTCTGAAAAGTGATAAGTTTCAATGCAAGTATTTCGGTTAAGGGTCAAGTGGGGGCGGCCAGGTTTCTTCACCATTTTATTGAATTTTCTTGTACTTTCAATTGGTCAAAGAATGGCCTGCTCGTTTTTGCCCGTTTAGAAGTTATTAGTATTGGAAATTGGGTAATTTTCAACCAAAAATTGTAAGTAACTTTTCAAATATTAATGATAGCAATTTGCAGTCTTCTGAAAAGATATGTAATTTGCTATTTCTAACATCTTTGTAGAACATGCCGGACATGTAGAAATATTATAGAAAAAGTTACAGCTACAAAGTTGATTTTAACAATGTCTCCACAATGTAACCTTTATATCTCAGCAGTTATAAAAGCTAGAAAGTTATAATATTCGGCAAAGCTATTCACAGTCATGTTTTCTACAGCTTTGCGCAACACAATTATTTTGTATCTTATCATATTAAAAAAAAAATTTCGCGTCTCACTTTTAGGTGGATTAATCTTTAATTTTCTTTAACCATAAGAAAGAGTGTTGTAACCCAAAAACTTCTCAGAAGACACCTAGTACCTTTACTCAACCATTTCAGCGTAAATAAAAAAGCGCGTGTTTTGATACCCTTGGCACCACTGCACTGCAGTGCACTGTGCGATGGTCCAGCCGAGGGTCCAGCCGCCATTGTCCGTTCAGCAACCGGTGCCAGCTCCACCAATATCAACAACAGTGATACAGTGGTACCAAGGCAGACCAAGGCAGGTCCACGACGAATGTCAGTAATATGTTCGTGATTTCACCAACAACGACGGCATCTGTTTCGTACCCGTTGCCTTCACTGCCACCGATGGCCTCTTATCCATTGTATACGCAGTATCCTGCTACGCTATCGTCTACCTCGTACCAATCACTACAATCGCAGGTATCGTCATCGTCAGCTTGGCCAATACCACCACATATGCCCATGGTATCATCATCTTCAGTACCGGTGTATGCGCAGTCAGGTGCAGCTCAGTCCGTTTGGCAGCAGCCTTCGTATTTTATACCACCACCATCTTACCATTCAACGCCAAGAAGCATACCGCTTGAGGAGCATCTAGGAGCAAGACGTGTGGTTAATATGACGCAGCCGATCATCTCGGGTATGCAACCATCAGCCTCGATGATTTACCAGGGTATGTACAACGGC